GGTTAAAAGATTGGACTGTAGAAGATTTTCTTCATCTGGCACCATCTGATGAATTTTATATTTGGACTGTCCGTCGACCAAATTATCAGAATGATAGGATCTGGGCGAAAAGTATTGAAAACGTTACTGAAGGTGAAAGATATCGTGAAATGGTAAAAAACCAATCATGTGTTGGAGTTTTTATAATGTTTACTTGCAAAAGATTACTATGGATTATCAAAGATAAAGGGGAATCTTGGACAGGTCAATATTTTCGCGATATTGTTTTGATTGAAAATGTAATTCCTTTCTTAAAAAATGAAGAAAATGTTATTGATCCTGATGAAGTTATATTTGTTCACGATAAAGCACCGTGTATGCGAGCAAATAAAACTCAACATTTGCTCCAAGACAACGATGTCAAATTTTGGGGTAATGATATCTGGCCAGGAAATTCACCTGATCTCAATGTGGCAGAACACATCGGATCAATAATCAAAGATGAAGTTGAAAAAAAAATGTCATCGGAAAGTGGACATAATCGATATCTTGAAGAAACGCTCAAAATGCACGTCGCAAATGTTTTAGCAAGCATGGAAGAAGATACTGAACTATTTGAAACTCTTCTATGCTCATATCCATCTCGATTTCGTGCTGTAAAAAATGCTAATGGTCGTCACACAGATTATTGATTATATTCATTAAAGAATAAAAAAAGAAACTATTTTCTAATGCCTTTAATTCGAATACTATATGATAAACTAGTTTTCTCATGACTTTCATGGATGAAAAATCGGAACTTTTCAGAGTTTGACATATGAAAGTTTTCCAAAGCCTTTGTATTTAGCATCACTAAACCCCGTTTTTCACGGGCTTTCATTTGGTATAAAATTCATCATACCTCCTATTCGGGATTATATCGTTACCCCCCTTGAATAATATTCTTTCCGACCCTGTACTGTGTACTTTTGTACTTGAATTTTTTTTATATAAACTATGTAATTTGATTTCTAACAAACAAGTGATTTCAGTTTTATTTGAACTTTTAACATAAACAACATAAAAGAAATGTTGTCCAGGCACAAGATTACTAATTTAAATCAAAAACAAAAAATCGAATAATGTTTCAGTACAAATGAATGAATAAACAATATATATGTCTTTTCATTGTGGATCGATCCAATTTTCTATTATTTTTGTCTTTTGCTTTCGATGATCAAGATAATTTCGAGTAAAACTTATTTTTCTTCATAATTTATCTATTTGTTTCAAATTTCTGAATTTGTACTATGCGGCATTATGCGTATATTTGGTTTCTTATATGTTAAAGAGTTTATTTCACAAATAATATTTTCTATGAGCGAAGATTTAGATTGGTTTTGTTGATACATCGTTTCAAATTTTTCAAAATAAATTATTTGACGTGCTATAGGCAGCTCGAAAGAAAAAACATCGAAAATTTTAACTAAAAAACATTCATCATTTTTAGCACAATACTAACAATGTAATATGAATCATACGCAAATCAAAAGATAAAACGACTGAAAATATGATGATGTCATTTTTTTTCATGTAGGAACATTACATGTATAAGGCTATCAAAATATCATTCGTCAAGATTATCTATACGACGTTGAATAGCAATTGCTTTGGCTTGTTCTGTTTTGCACTAATAATAAACTCTAGAGGATTAAAGTCAGCATTTACCGATATAATCATTTTTTAAACGTTTTTTAAGTTTCGACATTTTCTTCTTTCGATATTTTTTTCTTTCGGTCTTTCTACAGCTAATCAATTATTTTATACTAATTTCCAGAAGTTTTATTAAACTATTTTGAAAGGAACATCAAAATATATTTATATAATGATCTTTGACACTTGCCAGTAAAAAGAGAAGCTCGCAATTGATTAATCGATTTTGAGTCGAAACTGTATGCATCATTTGGGTTCTAATGAACTATATACATTCTGAAAAATGTTCTAGGTCTTAGCTGTTTACTATTAAAAGACTGTATTGTTATACTAGTTCTTCATAAAATGCCTTGGTGTCGTGTACGAACACTAGGAAAAATGATTATAGAATTTCGACTTGAAACTTTGCATATGCAAGTGTATAAGGAATACTAGAGATATATAACTTTTATTAATGATCTTAATGCTTGTTTTGTTGGTTTGTTTCTTTAGAAAAAATATTAAGCGTTGTCAATTTGATTTCCATTTATGGGCAACTTTGATTGCAATCAGTATTTTCTGGCAAATCGAAAAGACGTGGGTCTTGTGGACCAATTTGCCAAGCATCATAATCAGTAAATTGACGTGGTGTTTTAAAATTTGGTCCTGAATAACGAACACCATTTCTTGGTTCATCAACTTCACTCCAATATTCATGCTCATGAGAATACCAATGATCAACTGTTCTGCCATGAATTTGTTCAATTCCAAGCCATGTTGCACCTCTAAGCCAATGAATAGGTACACCAAAATTTCCTGGCATAGCTAAGCAACAAAGATTACGAGCTACAATGTAAACATTGTCAGTAATTAAAATAGTGCAACTTGGTTCATTTAAAGCCCAACCATAACAATAACCAAAATGATCATGTCGTTCTTGACCATGTAAACGTCCGCTAAGTGTTTGATTTGTATAAGTATAATAAAACACACTACGGTGAGGATGAGGTTGATTATCTTCATCAAAGGCAGTCACGAGTGCCTCAGTTCTGAAAAATACAGTCGATGTATTATAGGGTTTTCTCTTTAAATATAAATTTTACTTAAATCCAACTGGCCATATGGGATGCGAAGGAGGAGTTTGACGTTCACAAGCTACTGATGTTAGAACCACGAAAAGAGTGAAGATTATTAACATACTTTTTTTATTTTGCAAGATATCGTCGTGTCACTGAGTATGTTTTAGAATAGAAGTAGGTAAAATTTTGTTATTCTGTGTAGTTAAATTTGGTTTCTTTTCATGTAAATTTGTTCAGGTGTTTTTTGTCGTTTTATATTAAGTAGAATATTGCGTTTTTTGTTTTTACAAATCATGTTATACCAATCTTGATGAGATTAATGTATCTTGTTCTAGTAAGCCGTTAGAACGAACCAAAAAAAGATATTGTGATTAAGATGTATTAAGAGAACAAATGCGCATCATAAGGGGTTATTTTCTGTAAATATAGGGTGGTTAAGCTCGAGTCTTTACGTATGACCCGTTGCTATATAACATAAATTTTGGTTCTCCGACTCAATTCTTAAATCATATCTACATTTGATGATAAGTAAAGAATTAGGCTCAATTCTTGTAATTAAATAAGCATTTTAATTTAGCATGTTTCTCAAATATAAAATATAACAAATATTTAGACGTGTCACAGTTACCAATTGAGGAACAGAACTGCTTCGATTAGAGATACAACAAATCTGATGCCTTGGAATTCGGTATAATAAGGTGCCACAATTTTCGGACAAAGATTCCTAGAAACAGAATAATTTTATTCTATTCGTGGGAATCAATTTTTTAGAGTAGTTCAGTTTCAAGCAAAGTAGCTGCTATCGAGTCCCAAACTATTTGTATAGATTTTTTCTAATGTGGACACAAATTCAAATATAGAATTCAAATCCAAACAGCAAGGATTTGGTCACAAATCTATTTCGGATTTGTTGTATACCTAGACTTGATCATCCATTTCTTTTGAAAAAACCGGTAAATGATTACCAGTTGTTTGCATATGAGCTGAGCTATTATTTATTTGGTTTTTGTCCTCGTGTTAGGTTTTCAACTAATCCATTCAAGCACACTTGTGCAGTTTAGCTAGATCGCTCGGAAGGGCTAAAATCAGATACTCCTAGACACAGTTCTGTCTTTTTTTTCTAAAAGAACGTGATGATCGAATCATGCCCCTAGCTCCATCGAGAATTGTTACATGTGTAACTATGCATGGTTTATTTGTTATTAGAAAAATCCCTACTTGGTCATAATAGCTGATCTTAATTGTTTAATTATCTTCAAATATGCATATGATTTAGGAATTGATTCGGTTAAACTAGAATTTGTCTGAAATGATAGCGGTTCTTTCTGTAAGATTGGTTTTTTCTATTGTCTCGACTGTGAAAAAAAGTATATGTGAGCGGATATTCAGTGAAATACTTTCAAATAAATCCATTGGGCTCTCCATATTTTCTCACTTTTATTTATCATCTGTATTAGGGTTTCAGTTTACTATAGTCTGTCTAACTGGTACAATCATGTATACTGTAGATATATTGCTGCATCCAAGATTTATTGAAAAAGTAAACGTCAATGTCTTATACAATTGAAAAAATTTGATTCTTTTTTTTGTCATAATGTGGTAGTATGTTCTTTGAAGTTTTATTGAACATATTTTGCCATAAATATGTTTGAATAGAAATATAGAAATACGATCAATTTGCTTAGTGACAAAATTCAAGAGTACTTCTACACATTATACACCACTTTCTTTCAAACTTACCCTCATTACCTAATAATTTATTCATGTTCACTCGTAGAACGATGAACATCAAGTAGAAGCACCAATTCAAGCTATTTCATATGATGAAACAACTATTGCTTATTTGGCTAATAGACAACGGATCAGCTTTCTGCTACTAAAGTTAAGGATTCTAACAGTTCAATCGGATCCAGCGGAAGAAAGTTCAAGCAGTTCTAAATCTAGGTGCAAGCGATTTGTGTGATTGAGAAAGCAATAGTCAGTACAAACAAATGTCAAGGAGATAAAAATTTGCAACTATTTCAGAAGCATTATTTATCAATGTTTTCCTGAAGCGACGCTCAACTCCATTAAATAGTAAATCAGTACGAGTGTTGATGACTGTTTTATTCTTCAGTATGAACTTCAAGGATCTTTTCGTGAAGATCTAAGGCACAGAAGTGCAGTTAAATGATGGAGTCCACTTTTATAGTAAGTAATGCTCAATTTAACATTACATTGAGAAAATATTGATAAGTTATCCACCAAACCTATGCATGATCATGATCTCTTGCTTCCAATTGATCGAGATCTTTTAGCTAGAGAATTTTACTGATGAATCGCTCTTGGCAACGTAAACGTGTTCTTTTCGTATTATAAAAACATGAACTTCAAGATTTCATACAGATAACATAATATTTCAGCTACGAACAATCAATCATTATAATAGTTCTCGACAAATACGGGCTTTCAATGCTGTTCAATTATCCTTATTCTTTCTTTTTTTAGTTAACAATACAAGAAAACAAAAGAATTTTAGTTCGTGCTTGATTGTGAACAAGAATTAACAGTATAAAGGAGACAAACATTCGAAAAATGAAAAATTCTAGGATAGTTTCTTTGTTTTACTAAAGAGAGTATCAACCACTTTTGACATATTTTGAATAATAACAAGTGCATCTTGATATTGAGTATCCGTTGGTGTTTCATCAAAAATAACGATATTCGACGAACCTTGATCAAGTATACCACTAAGTTTCTTATCTAAAATCATTTGAGAAAGTTTCTTTTCGACGACATCCTAAAAAAATACACAACAATAATTTTATTTTTGTTTAAATATTTGAGTAATGATACATACACGAGGTAAATCAATTAAACGTGCAATATGTTCAATTTGAACATTAGAAAATGGTTCAAGCAGACGACTAAGATTTTGTTCAAGTAAATTATCATATAATGTACCCAAATGTGAATGAACTACTGGATCATCAGATAATTCTGTTTTATAATCTTTCAATGCCTAAATATAGATATGTAAATTTTTCATAAATTTTTTCTTTTGAAATTTTGAGAACAAACCTGTTGAAAATCAGCTAATGATCGTTTTTTACTTGCTTGTGCAATTGCTTTCATTGCTTCAACATCGCGACCACTATATTTTAATGCTAATTTTACCGACATTAATGCATTAACATCATCAGGTCTATTGTGTATAAACGAAAAACAATAGAGATATATATTATGGTTTATAGAAGTTATATCAGTCGATGAAGTAGCAACTGTCACATTGACGTTTATCAAAGTTATTTTTAGGATGTTAATAAAACAATATTTTATTAGCTAACTATTCAACTATCATAACAAAACTTTACGCTAAAAAATGTATATTTATTTCCTACTAAGTATATACATTATCAGAAGAAAAAGAGTATAGAAACATATCGTTTTGAATATTCTTCATCTCTATTTGATTTGATTGATAATATATTTAAAAATGAATGTAGCTTTTTTTCAAACCATAAATTCTACTTTTAATTAAAATAAACACACTAGAACTTTTCTTGACTAAATGTAATCATCTCTAACGTCCACTAACTATAAAGTAGATACTGATAATATCTAGACTGAACGTATATGTTTCATTAAAGTTACAAATATATAAGCGAATAGTGACAGAATTCGAATCTTTTTTTTTTTTGGATGAACAGAGAACTTGAAAAAGAGCCGAAAATTTGAGCATTCAATGTCTGAGATGCGTATGGAGAGGAAACATAGTCCGGAATGAAAGTGGAAATATTAGTGATAATGTGATCTTATCCTGTTTCTCATTCTCACATCATTCAGAACTTCTCTCACCATCACCCAGTACGTCACCTCTGTCATGATTTAATTTTTGACCTTTCTTCAAATTCTTCATTGATCGAAAAGTTATTTTAATTTCGCCTAGGTCAAATGGACATTTTAATTTTGTCTGAGATAAAATCAGAATTTAAACATCATCTAACCGAATTTAGAATTCTAATTTTCTTTCCATCACGTCTGTTATATGCAGAGAAACAATATCTCTTATTTGTTTGACATGTTAACTGTACAACAAATTTGCATTTATCACTACTAATATTTCTGAAATCTCGACTGGTATTATCTCTTGCGACACAATTATTTGGAAAGAGTTTAGCTTCGATTCCTTGACGAAAGTGTTAAAAGTAACTTCGATAAACATCAACATCGTTGTTACAATTATTTCGATAGGATATTAATAGATAAATCGAGTAAACTTACGTATTCATCATCACTTTCGATAATAACATATATTTAAGAGCAGTAACACCTTTACTGTTATTGATTTGATCATAACCTTCAAATGCTTCATAAAAATATGAAAATGCCGTTTTAAAATCTTTGTCTTCAGCTGCATGAAGAATTCCTGTAAAGAGAAAAGATTATCTTCAATTGCAAATCTTATGAAAAAAAAACTAAAATAATTATCAACCTGATTGTAAATCAAGACTAGCTTGAAGTTTTGGTGGTGTGTAAATTCCATTTGCTGTTGTTCTTGCTGATGTTAATGCAGCTCTATATAAGCAAATTAATTAAGTATGAAATTCAATTTTAAATAAATCTAACCTTGCTTTTTGTATATTACTTAAAGCAAAATAAGTTTTACTTTCTAATAATTGAACTTCAACAAGCAATTGTTTATCATCAAGTTTTTTTAATTCTTTAAGCAATTGAGAACCAAGTATAAGTGCTTCATTATATTTTTTTGTATCATAATATAAAGCAACGAGACGTGCCTACAGAAAAGTTTTATTTAAATAAAATTTTTATAGAAAAAACAATACGGAACTGTTAGTATATTTCTTATGAGATTAAAATGTGCAACACAATGTAGTAACTGTTGCTGATAATCACACGGGAAGTATTTTATTCTATCTATTTTGAGGAAGTAGTTCATATATTATATACAGATGCAATTGATATGCGGTGTATGATGGTACATGAACAATGTCTGTCACGGTCTGTGAATGGTTCGAATTTTTATCTACATTCTTTAACATTTCGTCAAGATCATGTCTCATAATATTTACCTCAAGATCTTGCCGAAGAAATGTTCGATTTTCACTTTTTGCCCATTCGATATTTTCTTGACATAATGTAACCTGAATAAATCAAACAAATAAAAAAAATGAAATCCTCCAAAAAAAATAAAAAAATTAAATTAATTTACTTCTTCACCAGTACCCGCTTCCATATCAAGAAAAAGATCGACTAGAGTTCGAACAAGTTTAGCTGCCTTCGCTTTGCTAACAAGACCAAGAAATGGACGAGTAGTTTTAGTTAATGATGCCAAAGCTTTAAAAAAAAAAATTTTTAAATAAATTAATAAAATGAAAAAATATTTTCATTACCTTTAGCATCTTTTGTTTCCTTAAAAACTTTTCCAAGTGAAAGAATAGCTGATTCTTTAATACGTATTGATTCTTCATCATCAGCTTTTGCTTCTAATTTAACTATTAAACAAAACAAAAACAAATAATTCAATTACGTCTTTTTAAATTTTACCCAATTTTTCTAACAATTCTCTTGCAGTTTGATAATCTTTTCCTGATAATGCATTTTCAGCTTCTTCTAAATCAATTTGTTCTGATGATTTTGGTTTTTCATCCGTCATTAATTCCGGCATTGATTAAAAATTTATCTAAAATATATTCTTCGAATTAAACACAAGAAAAGAACACAAAAAGAAGTATTTCAAATATAAAATTAGATATATTAAATTATTGATCACCAATTATGTTGTCGAATGATTTCATTTATAATAAAACGATTTTCATTCAAACAAGTCTCTGCACAAAGATACAATTGAAAACATGTTTGTAGTTCATCAAAACGTGTACATGTTTCACGTGTAATTGGATGTTTACGAAGAATTAATTCTAATAATGAAAGATATGCTGTTGTATCCTTATCAGTACATGAACGATTGATTAATTCTCTACTTATTATTTCAATAATTAAACGTCGATCAGAATCAAATAAAAGTATATCACTTGTCATATTTTGATCATCAAATAAATCAGCAAAAAATTTTATCACTGTATGTATTGTTTTATGTTCAATTGGATCAACTTAAGAGAAAAAGACGAAACATTTTTAGAAAAAGTTCTATGTATACTATATTCTTACGATTTCGATTAAATAATAAAATTAATCGTTCCATTAAATGTCGACATGATATTTGTTCATTTATTGCTAATAATGTCAACATTATAGGATTTTTATTTGGATAATCAAAACGTAAATTAAATGATAATAAAAATTTTATTGATGGTAAAACTAATTCATCATCATCATGATTATTTTCAATTAATTGAAATATGTATTTTAAAAATATAGAATTGGATAATTGGCCTAGATATAGAACAGAAGATTATAAAATCGAAAAAAACAAATAACTTACTGTTAGTATCCACTGGAAATGGCTCGTTTGTTAAAAGAATGGTCGTCAGAAGATTCAGAGCAGATATCACTGTTGATTTCATATTGTCGTCTAAAACGTTATATGTTAGCAATTGATTCGATAAAACTCGTTCTGTTCTATTTTTTTCTTGTACATGATGTAAACACTTGTTCAGAAAGAAATATGCTTTGATATCCAATGAAGAATATCTAAAATACTTTGTCCTTGTACACATGTAGCTACCTAAATTTAACAGTCCAATCGAATAACTAACTAATACTTTCAGTTCAAATATAAACTATGATAGTTAAAGAGTTTCTCGTTTTCACAATGAATTTCTCACTGATGAGAAAAATCTTTCGATTTATTAGTCACGTTTGAATCAGAATAATGCATATCGTGTAGAGCCTAAAATAATTTTAATAACTCAGAAAAATTTCGTATTGTTAGCTCATGGCGGTTGAGATACTGCAATTTTATAGTATTATTTAATTTAAAACTGTATTCCACCTTCAGAAATACCAGAAAAAACTAATTTTCACATGTCCCCTTGAAACTTTGTGTATGGATAGATCTGAATGAGATTATTTTATAATAAAAACTTCAAATCGTTTCGTTTTTCCTATTTTAAGATACAGCTAAGATGAAAACGTATCTATCACATCGCTCATATACATTGATAGTTTTTGATAATCTTATTTCAGGATAGGAGCAAATCACAAGATCTCATTTTTTACAATACACTAATTTCATTAAGATCTGTCTCTAGGCGAAGTTTTGAATCGAAATTTAAAAATATAAGTTGTTAATTATTCGTTAGCAAAGTTTATTTGACTTGAAGTTTTCAAAGATGATTAATCCTAATAAAAAACTTCTTTAATTAAAAATTCAGTTCGCTATATAGAACTAGATCTGAGTGGTAGCTCTTTTTATAGTCCATAGATGATCTACAATAGGATCTCTAATGTTTTGTCATTAAAACAAACAACGAACTTACTATGGTTTTCAATGAAACTCAACAGAGTTGTGTAGATTTTATCTGAACAGAATTTTAAAAACCCCTTTTTCGGTCATTTTCTATAAACAGCTTAGTAAAATTGTGATTAAAATAAGTATAAACAAACCGACTCTATGACACAAAATTCTATACTGCTCAACATAAGAATCATATAAGAGAATTGGTTCGATAAGAAACAGCTCCTACTTAGAGTATAATGAGAAAGTTATTTAAAAACAACTTCTTGAAAGCGATATTCATAGTTAAGACTTGAGAAAATAAAAATTACCAAGTGACCTTATTCTATGAATCTAATCCTAATCAAGGGTACATCAAAACAAAGTTCATAGCTCAAAACTTATGAAAATTTCGCTATTTTATACAGAAAAAAAGAAATATAAGTTCGAAATAAAGAAATGATCAGAATGTTTTTCCATGGTAAAAACTCAAGTTTGATTGTCTTTTGAAAAATTCACTTTACTGAGAAAATCCTGATTTTGTAATCGCTTAATTTTCAAATAGCATTTACATACACAAGTATTATTTTAAACACCTTTTGAATCAATATTATTAATATTTGTTTGAATAATTTGAATACAATTCAATAGAATAGGATGATCGATTACATTTGAAGTAGCAAATGTTGGATCAATTTGACATAGAAGTTGAACAATATCACATAGAATACCATGAATTTGATTTCCAACATTCTAATCAAAATAGAAAAAAAAATATATTTTTGTTTTCTTTTTTTTCTCGATTCAATAATACGAACCATTCCAGTTAAATTCATAAGATCAATCAAATATAATCGAATGCTTTGTTGTTTAATTAATTTAGCAAGAAAAAAACAATGAAGATCAACATGAGATTTCTACAAAATCAAAATATTCTTTCTAAATGTGTATTCTAAATTTCCTTCTCAGATAGGATTGGACAATCATCATTAGATTGTTTCAAAAGGTCCAAAATAATGACGGTATAGAATACTGTTTTGGTTAATGTTGTATTTTGATTAAAACTTATTAAATTCAAAAAAAATCAAACAGTTGTTAATAGTTCACTTTTGTTTGCTCTACAAAGCGTACTATTTACTTTAGTATTTTTGAAAACAGTTTTTGAAATAGCGAATTCTGACAGAATTCAGTAGCACTGTGTTGAAACTGTTCTAAGATATAAACTAAGAACTTTGTCAGAGCCGTTATTTTCTTCTGTTCAGACATAGTTTTGGATTTTTTCACAAAATTTACTTATAATTATTCAATCTTATTTGAGAAGAAAAATCTGGATGCATATATTGGGGAACACTGAAGAGTTCTAATTTCAACCGGTTATCTTTTATTGATTGAAAAATGAACGAATATTTTGTGTCAATCTTGTCGCGTCATAGGTTATTTGCCATATAAGTATGCAATCAAATGATAATAATATAACAAATAAATAGAAACTAACTCGCTGTGTTGTTTATTTTAACCATAGAATACTGTTCTATTCAGCGTGGAAAGAGTAAAGGAACAATATTGTTTCTGAAGTTTTAAATCGTCTCTCCGACAGAGAAAAAGCAAGATAAAACTTGGCCAAGGAAATATTTTATGTAAAATGATTCTTGTTTTTTATTTTCTTACTAATAAATCTTGTAATTGATTAATTGAATCATTAAGTGTCTTTCTATCACGTCCTAATGTATAATTTCGTTCTTCACAATCATTTGAACAAGTACTTATTGTTTCAATTAATTGTCGAAATCGCTGAAGATCAGGATGATCAATACTTTGCTCAAAACGCTAAAATGAAAAATTCTATATTTTATAATTCCTTGTATAGAAATATTTTACTTCAATAGCTTTATTTAATTCATTCCATTGATTATCTTTTAGATGAATTTTTGATAAATACGAAAATAACTTTGATGAAAGTTGTGAACAAATAATATAATTTGATTTTGTAGTTGAATGAATAAATGAAATAATATCCGAAACAATATCATCATTATTCATTGTCTTGTTTTGTTTTGTTTTTTCAAAATTAAATAAAAAATTCCAAATATATGTTTTTTTTTTTCTTAGTCATTCATGCTTTTGTTTTCTAGATGATATAAGTTTTAAAAGATTTTATTGGTTAAAAATTTTGATCAATGAAATAGTTTGTTTGCTTGTTTATGCGGTCAATCTGTCTCTGCTAACATTTCGTTCGTTCGTATTGTGTCAATCGTATCGTAAACACTTACACCTTATCAAGATGGTTATTCATGATCGTATGTTATTGAAAATTTATTTATTTATTTATTTTTTTGAAAATAATGCTTATTGATGATTGAATTTTTTTAAAAAGGTGATATTGATCGTTTTGCTGATCGTAGTCGAGAACTTTGGACTGAACGAACAATGTCGGATATGAAATATAGACAAAATAGTTCGTTTAAAATGATTTTATATTAGAATATTTATTATATTTAATTAATATAGATTTTCTTCGATGTTGTGGAAGTTGTCCATTTGCTTCATTACTGGCATTTGTTATAACAATAGTTGGTACAAGTATTTTTTGTGGTTGTCTTTATTATCCAATTCGAATATCTATTGAACAAATAAATAATGCTTTTGAAACTGAATATATTGATTTTGAATGGTATGAATTGAAAATTTAATTAAAATTTAGAACGCTTTTTTTTTTTGTTTTTATAAAGGATTCGTATATTACGTTTGACCGTAATTTTTATTCTTGGAATAATGGGTAGTTTTTCATTGATATTACTTATCGTTGGATCATTAGCTACAGGTGCTACACGTCATCAAGTATATACTGGATTTCGTTCTCGAATTGGTGGTCGAATTGCAACAGGATTTGTAAATATTAAAACATAGAAAAAAAAAAAAACCTTGATTCATCATATAATTCATCAATTTTTTTTCTTAGTTTACATTTTTTGTCTATATTATGTTACTTATATGGTTAATTATAATGATAAGTATGATGATACCATGTATTGGTTTATATATATTAGACCATCGTTGTACGGAAACTTGGGTAGGACAAACAGCATCCGGTTGGCCAAATACAGCATCACCAATAGCTTGTTTAACACCGGGAACTTATGGAATTCCTGTACCTAAACATAAACCTGATGTAAAAGCTTGTCAACAAAAATTTAATGAATTATGTACATTGGTATGAAATACAAGCAATGATATTTATGAATTATTTGTTCATTTTTTTTTTCATTTTACTTTAGACGAATCATACATTAAAATTTTGGGCAGGTTTAGTTGGTTCATTTTTTGTTGTTATCGGTTTGGTAAGATCTTCTCTTTTTTTTTTATAGATATCAATTATTAATTATTTTATTTTAGATTCATTTTCTTTGTTGTCTTGTGGCTAATTATGCTCATATAAAAGATGGTCGAAAGTTACATGATTATGAAGAAGCTATACGAGAAGAACTTGAAATATCAAAATTAAATCAATAATAAAATTCTCCGTTACTGTAAATATACTCGGGTCGACTGTCATCTCTTTTGATTGTCTTTGTTGTTTTTTTTCATGAATCTTTATATTTAATCATTATCTTGTGAATGGAAATCTTCTCAGCGAATAATTTAGATATTCATTATGTCAGATGAATTTGTCCGTTGTCGTCCTTTAATTTTATATAATATTTGTGTGTTTATATAATCATTCTTTTTTTTTTGTATCTTATTAGCTCTTGATTTTGCTTGTGCTAAACAAGTGCCTTGTTACATTAGCCTTGTCTATGCATATCATTCGTTTGTGCTATAGATTAAATAAATAATTGTACAATTTACTTTCATGCATTAATGTAATATGTTTGAAATGTACAAGAAATATAATAGGTTTTTGTACAAAAGGACGACTATTCTTCTAATTTTGTTTTCATCATCAGTATTTTATACTGATCTAATACTTCGGAAGAATGAATATCTATTGTGGACAGCATAGATACATAAGCAACGTTCATCAAAATTCGGTTCGCTTAGTCCAGATTGATATGATACAGATATATATACAGATATAATTAGGTAGAAATGTGCGTTAAGTAAAGTAATAGATACATTAAAGAGATGACTTGAAATATAAAAGCGATTCGTTTCACAACAAAGTTTTTTTGTTTTTTTTACAATACAAAATTTGATTTCTATGGTCTATTCATATATATATAGAATTAGTGTGTTACAATGAATCATATGTGATTATAAATAGTAGTATATTTATTTTAGAGATTTAATGCTTGAAGTCATAAAAAAATAAAATTAACGAAAACTTGAAATAGAAAACGTTTCGATTTTTCATCATTCATATGATTCTGTTTTTCTCATGTTTTGAATAAAAAGTATGTCATTTATTTATCGGAATTAATTTTAAAATTCAGTTGCCTTTAATAGTTGATTTCTCACTATTTTCAAGTCAACTCACAATTAGCTACATTAATGCTATTTCTATTCATAAAAAAAAAAAAAGAATAATGTGATTATAGTTCATCATAATCTTATGTGTAGATTCATTCTCGCACTCGTATTAATTATTACGTCACATTCTCACGTATATACTATTGAACGATCGATCGAACTATTCACTCATTCAATAACAATGATCATTCCTTCTAAGCGCGTCCCAGATCGAAGGAGCACGCTTGTGATCGATCGTAAATCGTTGTATATAGACATATTATATGATTCAGTGTTACGATCGTATTTCTTCGCATATGATAGGAAGAAATACGACTGTCTACGGCGACATACAGAGTAAAATGTAAGTCATTTACGGTCTTCGTATACAATCGTAATACAGAGCCATATAATACATCATAATACCGTCGTATACGATGAAGTTCAGAGTGCATATACATATGTCGTATTCTTCATTCTAAGATACTAATTCTCGTTTAATTTTAATCCTAAGATGTATGTACCCTTTTTTTGTCATTCTACGTATTGTCTGTTAAAAAAAATAATGGTCGTGGCCATTTTTGCAATAACTCAAGAAAGAAAAGAGCTAGAGAGCTGCGGTTTTCACCAGTCGTAAGAGACGACAATAGAGCATCTTTTTCTCCAATATTGTAGAAGACGAAATCATTTTAAAATCAAACATTTTTACAAAACATCGAAAAAAGGCACAAAAATTAACTTTTGTTGAGATAAAATTTTCACAAAAAGTAAGAAAATTTGCTTAAAAATTAAGAGAAATTCATACTTTTCGAGGGAGTCAATAAAGAATTTGATTTGCTTAATATTAGAATGCGTAAAGATGATCATTCAAATTATATCTTAAACTATAGATCTGATGTCGCTCTATCCAAATCACATATCAAAACCAAAGTTTCATCGGAACGGCAGACCATTTTCATGGATTTTTCGCAATCTTTTCCAGAAATGATTGATTTTAAGATGATTTCGTCTTCTACAATATTGAAGAAAAAGATGTCCTAGTGTCGTCTCTGTCGACTGGTGAAAACCGCAGCTCTCTAGCTCTTTCCTTTCTTGAGTTATTGCAAAAATGGTCACGACCATTATTTTTTTTTAACAGACAATAGTCATTTGTACCATATCTACCACATGGTAATAATGTTATAAATAAACACAAGTGAATTGCTGTCCTCCGGCCCTATATTTACAGTCTAGAAAATTGTGTGAAATCTGCTGCTAAGAGCGAAAATTCTTCCGAATGAATGTGAAATCTTGAAAACATTTCCTCTGTTATCAAAATAAAGAAAAAGTCAATTTGTTTATTTTACTCAAACATGTTTCGAAGAAAGCGAAAGAGAAATCGATTTAACATAATAAAAACGTCACATAAAAAATTAATCTTTCTTAAACAGTAAGTCATAGAAACAGTGTTCTTTGCAAAAAAAGTATTAGATTGTATTGTTAAATAAGAGAAGCAATTGCCTACGAAGCTTATACTCGTATTTCTACAAGAAAAATATTTCTTCATTCGAATTCCGACACGAAAACTTTTCGTACAGCTAATAGTTTTCCAAAACTTCTCCAAACTAGAAACGTATCTCTTAACGCGAGTACGTGCACCATCAATAGATCCTGTACGTCTGGATGCTGTTATGGATCCCGATTCTAATGTCATGCTTGATAATTGTATCATAAGTCTCAATTGAAATAAGAATCATACTATAGTCATTAAAAAATTGACTTTACGGTGCTCTTTGGTTTTTTTTCTTGTTATAATAAAGTATAAAATAATAAAGGTGAGCTATATTGAGTATTGATAGAAGTTCGATGAGAATAAAAAATATTATTGATAATCAATGTGTAACTAGGTGAATGCTTCACATCAGAAATTGACAAGACTAGAATTTTCATCGTTCTACTCAGACCATGACAAACGATGGACATTTTCACTTTGCTTTTGTTGATGATGGGCTTTTCTTGGCAAAGCTTATGAAATTTTTAACATGCTAATATTATAATGTTACGTGAATGAAAGCAAAAAAATATCTTGATAAAAAAAAAAACTCAAGGATCTTAAATGTATATCAAATTAAGATGATCCAATGAACCATTTATCAATTTAATACCCTATATTTTTGTAATAGATAAAAAAACAAATACGGAAATTTAAAATTTAAAAAACTCGATTTAAATCATTAACCATTTCTTGAACATATTTGACGATTATGTCAGAAAAAAGAAAATATCAAGATCTAATATTGCACGATAATATAAGCTAATCATGATTATAGTCAGTCAAAATAATAAAATTGTCTTACGAATGAAAAAACACATTACAGATACTCGATCTGTGTGGTTTATGACAGATTTGAAAAATCAAAACTTGTGTCCCATATAGTAGTAAAGAAAAACAACAGTAATCTTTAGTTTTTATTACTATCTGTATTCAATCCTATTTACAAACAAAAAGTGCATATTTATCAGAAACTGCTGTAATACATAACCAACAAACATATGCATTTAACCGGCTAGAAAGATAGACTATCAGTTTCTAATAAAACCAGCCGGTCTCTCATCATATTGTCGAGCTTGTCTATTATATTCGTGGTAACCTCGATGGCCTAGGAAGATTTATATTGCTTCAAAAACTTTTTGTAGATGTCTCAATGAGTTTACAAGCACATACTATTGATATCCGTAACTGTTGAATTTTATATTGTTATTTAAATTGAACTAGCTTCATAGTATTCTATGTTTCATCAAAACATCATAGTTGTAGTTTTTTCTGAATTGTACTGACGAAAGATCCTTTTCAAGGAAAAAATCGTATCTGAGCTCGGTCTCTCTGTGCTGCATAAAGTAAATTCCAAAATGATGAGTGTCCTTAGACATTCTTTTCAAAGTTATAGCCATATTAATCTATAAGAGAGTATACACTGAGAAATCGAATTATGATAGTTCGATCATCTATGCCCAACAAAACTCAACAGTTCACTTTCGCGTATTGTTGGACGAACAATGTCATCTTGACGGTTAAGATGAGCTTTGGCAAAGCGCTTCATGACTAATCATTCGCAGCGTATTTCACGATGACTCCGAAAACAACAATTGAATAAACCATTTCTGTTGTCATTTGCAAATCTCGTATGTTCACCGTCGCATGATGAGGATGACGACTGTCTACGCACAGACCTATTTATAAATAGAATGTAGCCTCTACGACATACTGAATCTTGAAAAATAAGCATGCATATGATCCTCTCATCTTTCATAAGACAAATAATTTTTGGCAAATCAATATCTCGTAGAGTAAACATTGTAACTTTTTTACTAATAAGTCTATCTGTAGATCAAATTTTAGTTCGAACTACCACGATTTGATTGTTTGGAGTGTACCGCCTGTAACGATGAACTGAATGAGTAGCTCGCCGTACTATCGGCAATGATGTTTATTTAACTACTTCACATATCCAGAATGTCACTAATTCACATAAAAAACACGCTTATATAAGAGAGAACAGGAAAGAGAGAGAGAGATGAACAATAGAGAGAACAATAGAGAAAGATGAACACAAGGAAAGACAATTGAGATAAGATAAAGAGGAAAGAGAAAAGAAAGATCAACGGGAGGTAATATCCATATCGGCACACCGTCTTATATACTTAAATGGCTACAAATCTGGAGGTAAGGATTAAGCACACTGATCTTTTTGCAGTTTTTCGGATCTTACTGGAGTTTCCCTTTATACACAGAGGCTGAACTCAAAAACAATTTCCTCATTAGGAAACTGAATAGCATACAATATCACAATATTTTGTCTCTCATAATACATTGTGCTATTTCAAATCAATCGCTGTAACGTCATAGTACTATTGTTATACTCCCATTCGATATGATTTCAGTACATTGAATTTTACAAGTAGCCTAATAATGAATCGAAACATTGTCATATAGGGAACTTTTGTTAAGTCTTGATTGCCAATATATCAGTAGATCTTAATCAAATATTGTGATTCTATACTTTGATAAGAATACTTTGATAATTCTTCTACAAAAATTTATTGATGAAATGTAAAAGAAGAATTAAATATATTTGATGATATTAGATTAATGCAAAAATTTTTCAAATAATTACTATTACTCTCATCAATATTAACATTTCAAAATGAGATCATTCGGTAGTGTTCAATTTATATTTTAATTAATGAACTAATATTTATCATGAATACTTCCATGTAGCGAATTTTAATATTTCATAGATAACTACGAGTAGCAAAAATAAAGTCAAGTTCTATGTCGTGATAAAAAAAGACTTTCTCAAATTTTATACGAATTAAATTTAATACTTCAAATAAGATAATGTTTTCATTGTCTAATTTTCAGTATTTTGGATTCGTAAAGAAGTAGGTCGAAAAAGAACCCAAATAAACCAATGATCTATTTAAATGTGTTTGATGGTGCTGGAAAGAAATATCAAGCAAGTAAATATTAAAAAGAAAGCGTGTTTCTTTCACACATCAAGATGCCACTAGTTGACACTCATAAAAAGGTGTTTCTGTTGCTGTTCTTGATTTGTGAATGCGTCACGAAGCATTTATGAAAAAATAGATAAAAAGAACGACAAATCTTTTTTTTGCTGATTAAGGCAAAAATAAAATGTTACTGGTGACATAGATAATTTAGTGTTTTTATTACTAGATTTTGTTAAATATGTCTGTTGATATTTCTGATTTATTACCAGTACTTGAATCTAATTTTGAGTCTAGTGTATGTTGAATATTAATTAAACTTTTATTTTCATATTTTTTTTTTAATATTTTTTAGGTAACCCTTTCTGGTGTATTATCTCGGAGAGAAAAATATAAACATGCGATTACAATGGGTGTTCTATTCTTTATCAATTTATTAAATTTTATGGATCGATTTATTATTGCAGGTATTCATAAAAATAAAATGAAAATATATCATTAAACATATCATTTATATATAGGTGTACTAGACAAAATTATACATGATTTTTCTGTTGGAGAAGCAAAAGGTGGTCTTCTTCAAACAGTATTCGTTTGTAGTTATATGGCTTTAGCACCAGTCTTTGGTTATTTAGGGTAAGTACAAGGCAATCTGCAAAAGTCCCAATAACATATTCTATATTTGCAGAGATCGATATAGTCGAAAAATGTTAATTATTGTGGGTGTTAGTATTTGGTCTATGACTACTTTAGCCGGATCATTTGTACCAAATCATGTAATTTTTTCCTACATATATATAAATAACGGATGAGTCATAATGAATAGTCAGATTTTACATTTTCTTTTTTTTTGACTTCCTGAAATGTTTTTTTTCATAAACAAATGTATAACACAATAGAATGGAGTGTGAATTGTACATTTTGAAATAACACAAAGTTATTTAATGTATGTACCTTTGTTTGCATAATAGACAATTATTAAGTCGAAAATTTATCGATGGTGCAAAATGAACTAGTTTTTGGTGTATATAGACGATATATTTCTATTTTGTGTGCTTGGATACTTTTACTGATATGATCTAACAACTCGTAATTTTATAATGATGAGATTCGAATTAACAATTGATCATTATGAAGTGTCAATGATGTACTTGAAATAGTTCGGTCTTGTTAATAGATGAATTTATTACTATTGCAACTGTTACCATATAGATCGTGTTACAATACTTATTTTTCACTGAAAGAATTATTAAATCATTAGAATGCATGCTCCTATTGGAGTAGATGAGATTCCGAAAATGAATCATAAAATATGAGGGGGGTATGGAGTAAAAACTTTAAAAAAGTTTATCAACACAGTAGTAAAATAATTTCGAGTGGCTCATTGACATCTAATGATAGTCAAGCATTAGTTCGAATCTCATAACTCTACAATCACCAGACGTGAGATAACGTTGTTCAAAGTATTCAAACATACAAAATAGAAATATATCGTCTATATACCATTTTAGAAAGCCAGAGAAAGTGAATGTAAAGACTAGCCCTTCATTATAACTTATCTGTTAAATATACATACAAATTGTTTTCATTAGCGTAGTTTTTTCTTTGATTAGATGTTTGCGGTTTTTGCAATATTACGTGGTTTAGTTGGTATTGGTGAAGCTTCATATTCATGTGTTGCACCTACAATCATTGCTGATATGTATAAACATGATACGAGAACAAGAATGTTAGCTCTTTTCAATATTGCTACTCCAGTAGGAGGGTAAAATGATTATAGTTTTCATTTGAAAATCTATTTAATAAAAACTTTATATAGTGGTCTTGGTTATATTGTTGGTGCATATGTTACAGTTGCATTTCATGGTGATTGGCGTTGGGCTTTACGAGTAAAGATTTATTTATTATTATTATTATTTTTTGTGTTGATAGTTATATTGTTCTGTATATGTAGTTTACCCCTGCTCTTGGTTTCATTTGTGTTATATTACTTATTGTTCTCGTTAGAGAACCAGTGCGAGGTGGTGCTGATGGAGCACAAGTTTTAAAAAGAGATTCTTGGGTTTTAGAAATCCAAAGAATCTTCCAAGTGTTTGTTGCAAATTAATTTAATTAGTAAAATCTATAAATTATTTTTTTATATCATGTAGGAAAAGTTTTGTTCTTACAACACTTGGATTTACATGGGTAGCATTTGCATTAGGTTCACTTGCTTGGTGGGCACCAAGATTTCTTCAATTAGCTTATAGTTGGCATTACAATATTGTAACTGAAAAAATGAAAGCCAAGTAACGAATTATTTATAATAACAAAGATATTATTTATGGCGTTTTTTTAAATTAGTGTCAGTCTCTATTTTGGTATAGTAACGTGTGGTGCTGGACTTCTTGGGGTACTACTAGGAAGTGAAGTAGCTAGATGGTATGTTTATTTGTGATTTTAAAATGATATTTATGAAGGATTTTATTAGTTTTCTTCATATTTAACATGTCAATAGTGGTAGACACTGTTTTCAAATGTGTATCTGTAACTAAAAGTAACAGTTTAAAAACAATTTATATGTTACAGGATAAATCTCCTTGCTGATTAATTGCTTATGAGTAGGAATTATGTGTATCATGTAGATACAAAAAAATTGTAAATATTATAAAAATAATTTAGGCACTCTTCTTATTGTTACATAGACACTGCAACTGTACGATAGTATTTAAATGAATGCTTTAGTCTCCTCAAAAACACAAGAAAATCTGATTCTCGGATTTTGACTTGAAGCTTCGTACAGAAACAAGTCTTAATTAGAATAGTTTATTGTGAGCTCTTCTGATCTGCTTCTCTTCTGAGATAAGAACATTGAATAGAGAAATATACAGTTCCAGTTTACAGATCGCCAACGTTACCAATTTAATATAGTAAATACGCACAAACACACGAGTACAAATGTTCACTGAAACACTGGAACTCATCCCGACAAAAAGAGTATCTTTTGATAGAGTTAATGTTTCAATATTGCAGTGAACGCGAAAACCAGTGTCATCAGTGCTCCAATCGGCCCTGTATTGATGACTCATCGCTCAGTATTTACACTAACATCAATACTCCTGATAATCCTACAGGGGACTATGGCATTCATTTAAAGAATATCAAGAGAATGCAACATCTCAGCAGCAATAAGCTAAGGGTCTGAACTGTTAAAGTATTCATAAGCTATTTAGGTCTACATCATGCACGTAGTTTCGATTCAACAGCGATTTATCAGTTAGGAAACTTCCCTTGTTAGTTTTTTTAGTCTAATTGTGAATTCATTTGATGTTAGAATTGAAACATTTTTAGAAAAAATTTCGTTTATACACTATAATATTTTTATTTGTATGAAAATTGAATATTAATTTCATAATATAATATTTATTACTTTAAGAATATAAATTTAGAAAAATATATATATTTTAGGTATCGTAAAAGAAATCAACGTGGTGATCCAATAGTTTGTGGTGTTGCTGTCATTTTAGCCATACCATTTCTATTTATTGTACTTATCATTTCTAAACACAGTATAATTGCAACATGGATTTGCATTGCTATTACTGAAACATTACTTTCTAGTAATTGGGCAATAATATCAGATATGCTTATGGTTAAATCTTAAAATTTTCATTTTATTTTATAAATTTTTTTTTTTTTATTTTTAATAGTACATCATCATTCCACCAAGACGTGCTACAGCAAGTTCTATTCAAATATTTATTTTACATTTACTTGTTTGTTTGAAAAAAAAAATTAATTTATTATAGATTAATTTTTATTTTATACAATAGGGTGATGCATCTAGTCCATATATAGTTGGTATAATAAGTGAAGCCCTTGGAAAAGGATCAAAGGATGAGAAAGTTATATGGCAAGCCTTACGAAATGCTCTAATGTTAACACCAACTGTTGCTTGTTGTGGTGGTATCGCTTTTCTCATAGCGGCTCTTTTTATTATTCGAGATCGTCGTGAAGCCGAAGCTACTATACAATGTAAATTCATTTATATAGATTTGGCAAATAAATAAGAATAATTTTGTTTTTGTTTTTCTTTTAGTGATGAATTTGTCAGACAATATTCGAATGGAAGAAAAACAATAAAACTTAGAAAAACAAAACAAAGATCTATTATGTACGTTTATGGTTAATAATTGATTGCTCATGCTATTTTATAAGTTATTCGATAAATCAAAAATATTTGAAAATGCATAATCTATTAATTTTCCTTATGTGAATTGGCAAATATATTTTTTTGACTTTCATTTTTATTTATAATTGACAACGAAACATGAACTTGATTTTATCAATATATTTTTACTATTTTTAATATTTGAAATTTATTTGTGTAATTTACTAATTTTCTTTTTTCAATTTTACTACATGAACATTCATTATCTGCTGTCAATAAATCGACAATAATAAATCAGTAGAAAGTTAATTAGAAATATTAGTATCGAGTATTAGAATCTGTGACAAATACGATAGAGATATAAAATAATTCACAAAACAAAAATAGAAAGTGTTACTAGGCGACTTTAAAACATACATCACAAAGACAATAATTCAATGATAATAATACTGATAAAGAGTACCTTTAAAAAAAGCTTATCACTGCGATTCTCCTGGGAATAAAATGTAAAACTCACATGTTCTCCTTTCAGTCTCCTTATATGCTAATTGAAAAATCTCTAACAGATGATAGATTCTTTTCAAAAATAACCAACCTCTGAACAAGCGATTTATTTTATTCATTGCTTCATGTCAAACAGAATTTTCTCCTTTTAGTTTTTTACGTTTGTTCTACTTTTTATTGGGCTTGTTGCGAATCGTTTGTTACTTATTTTTCTTTTTGCTTTAATTTTTTTAAACTTTCATTATTATTATTCTAACCATTGCTTTAATAGACACATAAATCTGTTGTAGACATTCATTACATCGACAAAAAGTCTTAAGCTTTTTGTGTTAATCATACGATAATTGTGGCAAATCAAAACACCCTTATTCATCATCTGCAATATCTATCATATATATTTTTGTCCGCTTGAAAATCAAAAACAGTATTATTTAGAACATTGAATAACATATCTCAGCTACGTATTTCAATTTTCAGGAAGACTTTCGAATGTTGTAGAACTATCTAAGTTTTGTTGTCGACTCCGTTCAGAATCTTTCTCCATTGCTCAGGAATTATGGGAGACCATTCTGACACTCATTTGTCCTCGGTTACCATGAAAATGTAGTTACACTGAACTTGACATTACTGAACAGCAATTTGTTGAAATTACTTAACTTAGTTTTGTTACTAGTCGTTTGATAAGTTTGAATGTCTAGCATAACGTGATACTTTCCTTGTTCATAATTCATCTTCAAATGTAAAATATCATTAAACGGAAACTTCTATGTCTTTTCATTAGGCAGTTCATCTTGTTCAAGTATCAACAATCATTCCAACAAAAGTTCTTTTTTCTTTTTTTTTTTCACAAACTTTTAGAATGAGAATAATAATAGAGATGAAACAACATACCCAAAAACGCATACAAAGTTTACACTAACTCAAGCAAAAAGGAAAAAGAGATCATTACAATCTAGTGATATGTGGCTAGCTGGATTTGGAATGAAGAAATATCTATATACATTAACTAAGCTATGACGCGAATATATTGACATAAAATATTTGCTCATATTTCGACCACTAGGCGGCAATTGATTAGAGTTAGAATCAGAATTTTCCACTATTCCGGAATATAAGTTCAAATTTTTCTATTCAGGCTTAATTGAACAACTATCAGTAAAGTTTGTGAAAAAGTTCAAGAGTGTCGATACAAAGCAAAATATTGGTTTTAGCACAATCTTTAGTTTGTGTCTTGAAATAACTTCAACTCAACATTACTAAATTCTGTACAAAATGAGATATAACAATAAGCGAAATTTAACTACTTCTAACTCTAATCAGTTGTCTTTGAATAGTCGAAAAGTGAGTAAATATTTTTGTGTTAAGACTTTCGTATCATGGATTAGAAAAGTGTCTTCTCTTTTAAATATTTGTCGATTGAACTTTAATGGGTAATGATTCTGTATATTGTTCATTTGATTAGAGTTTTTCTTTGTCATTTGTATTATCAAAAGAAAGTTGTTCAGCACGAGTTGATAATCTTTGATGTCTAGGTGTATGATGACAGAGTGAAACAATCATATCTATATGAACAAAGACAAATAAATAAGATATTTCAAAGAATAAAAAAAACATACGCCAAAGAATAATTGATGATAAAAGTAAAAAGACAAAACAAATCCATGTTGGAATTTTCGGTTGTTTACGAATAAGATCATTCCATTCATTATGAACATCGTCAAGAAATTGTTTAAAACGATTGTTTCTTGATTCAATTTTATCTTTTCGATGAATAATAAAATGTGTAATTTTATACGTATTATCCTCATTTAATGAATCAGCATCCAATTCATTGGATTGTTTAATCATATTTTTATTCTCGTTTAATGTTTTTATCTTATTCATAAACATCGGCATTGAATCCATGTTAAATGATGAATGTTCAGATAATGGACGTTGACGAAGACGAATAAGAATTAGTGATGGTGAACGTTCATTTACAACTGATTCTTTTATTTCCTAAAATTAGATTTCAATTGCTAACTTTATATAATAAACTTTTTATTTTGTTTTTTTTTACTGATGAATGACTCGATGAACAACCAAAGAGACAACTAGTTTGAATTGGTTCATCAGTTGAAAGTAATCTACATTGAACAGTACAATCTTCATTATGTAATTTATAATCACAACCTAAAAAGAAAGTTTTTTTTTTTTCTTTTTCGTTTATTATTATTTTTTTCTTTATTAAATAAACAAACCTTTTTTGCAAGCATTCAAAGTAGATAAATCAACAGCATGATTTGAATGACATCCTGAATAACAACTATTTTGAGCTTGAAACAGTGTTTCTAATAAGCCAAATATTGGTGATGACAATAAGATAATGGTAAATGCAAAAATTTTTAACATGATGAATAAAAATGAAATCAATATCAAGCGCGTTTTTTTTATCGGATTTAAAAAAGAAAAGAAACAAAAGTAGTATATGATGTAAATCTAGAAATAACAACAACGTAGATACAGTAAGAGCGATGCCAAACAATAAAAGAAATAGCACCTGATAGGATGATATAAAGTATGGTGAGAAATGCGAATCAATATCAAAGGCACTTAATAAGGCGACATCTGAATATGATGAAAATATCAGAACAAGAAATTGTAAGAGAAATTCATTGAGTCAAAAGGTATATTCATCAATATATTTTATTTATTTTTGAGAAAAATGAGTTTCATATAAAGAATGACGTTAGATTACAATGTTATTTTAACAAGATCGCAACAACAAATTTTATATACTTAAGAACAATGGATATTCGAGATGTCGCTAAAACTAACTTCTTAATTTTAGTTGATCAGTGATATGTTTTACATACTTTCAATATGACCTCTTGAAAATGAGTATCATATTGAGTGTATTAAAAGGCTTCTCCTAGTTCAATGTTGATTTGACTATTCGTGTACATATGACTATAGACTAGTCGAATAAAAGAAAAATACTTCTCTTCTAGTCTTTTTTTTTGTTTTGGTCACGAATGATATATGGAGTTAATAATTGATCATTCTGTTAAACTATATTGAACAAATTTTGAAAACGTTTTCTCTCTTAGAAGAATGTTGATTGTTAGCGAACTAGAAAAAAAAACGAATACATATCAATTGATAACATGCATACAATTGCTATGTTTATAAGTCATCAATTTCTCCTGATTACGATAATAATCATACTGCAAGATAAGATCCGTATCTTCATTTTTTTCGTTCAGAAAGAAGATAGAAAGAACCGTAATATACGCTTTAGAAGATAAAAGTCTTAATCAATTGAGATAAATTAATCTCTTAATGATATTTATCTAATGTGCATTCTTCGTTTATTTGAAGCATATCTAAGTAGCAGTGGTTCTAGATACAAGATTATACAATAGAATGAATCGATTGTTGATTTCCGTATTAGTTCAGCGAGTATCTATGCTTACTCATCTACAATCAATCCTTGAACAAAAATAGACAGAATATTTTTAGTCCTATATTCGAATACAGCACAAAGTTCTACTCATTATCCATTAGTTTTTGGCTAGTTTAAAATACTTTCCAGCAGGTCAAAATGAGCAAATATTTGCATTAGAAACTTCGACTCATAAATCCTGTCTTAATTAATGTTTACAGACTTTCAAAAAGTACCTCACGAGTTTCAAACAAAATTAAGCCAAACCTCTGCTGCTAACCCATAGATTTTAACTTATAGGAAACATCTTGAAGGGAACAAAAAAAAATAATCGAACACTTGGTCACTAGTCTTTCGATCTACGCGGTAATAATTATTTATGACGAAATTGAAGTTCATAGATTTCATTAAAAGATTGTTTTGGATATTTAGTTAAAATTTAGCACGAAAAGCTTTAGTAATTATCTACTGTTTACTATGTTTTGATATTGAAAAACATACAATGAATCAGTTCTTATTAATTGATAATCAAGGTTGAAGTGAAGATATCAGATAACCCATAAAGAAGAGAACAATTTTATTTCTTTTTTTTTTGCGCAACGCAGACATCATTTAAAACGTTTATTTTTATCCTATTCGATAGAAAATTTTTCATGTTACAAAACTATTTATTGTGTTCTTCAAATACGTGTTGGTTGTCAATCAAAACTAAAAAAATTGATATCTTTTCGATGATTCAATTGCAATCACCTATTTTCTTCTGACATTCATGAATCTCAATAGATGCATAATATTATAGCTAATCTTACAACACTGGGATATTTGAAATATTATCATAACTACTATTTGAGAAAATCTATCAGTTTTTCGCTAGTTGCAGTTGGCGGACTGAGTAGCTTTCAATCGTTTGAATTTTTTGATGACAAATATACTGATTTGAAAAACAACAAATATAATTTTGTAGAACGAAAAATTCTCTATGGAACAGTATACAAAACGAAGTCTCACAATTCTGTCTGCGCTGCCCCCATCTCCCAAAAAATAAAAGTGTCTCATTCTTTATGGCCCATAAATCATAAATCACTTGTCAGTCTAATAGACTATTAATATAGGTATAGATAACAGATGCTCGAAAATATAATTTATTTATTCTTCTATGTGCATATCGCAGAGATATTAATCTACAGTTTTTGCCAAGTTTTACGCTATACTTGAATATTTTATGGATCATTTTAAAGTTGATATACCATTTATGATCATTTTGATAAAGTAATTGGATACATATATATGTGTGAAGAATCAACAATGTTCTCCAACTATAAAATCTTAGCAGTTTTCGTAGGTTTTTCTTTTTACAAATCTATTAACTGTAACTAGAGTTCGAAAGACAAATCGATATTAGTGAAAACTTATTTTTTACGGTTTTATGTTTATTTATCGACATTGTTTTGTTATTATGACAAAAATATAATTCGTAGAAAAGAAAAACTATATTGCTTTTAAGCAACTTTTTAATGTATACTGTAAATATTTGCTCTTCACTATTTTATAATAATAAAGTATCAAGATATATATTTCTATTCATATAAATACACAAATATATCCAGTGCAACACTTCATAGTACGTTATATATTAATCATGTTAAGCTGTCTATTATTTCTTTATACATTTGGAATTTGTCAATGTTTACAACGTCCGCTTGTTATTGGACATCGTGGTACAGCTTATTTACCTGAACTTACATTAGCTTCTCAATCAATGGCTCATGCATATGGTGCTGATATAATCGAAATCGATGTATGTCTTAGTCGAGATAATCAATTAATTGTTATTCATGGTCACTATGATGTTTTATTGTAATATAATAATTATTTGATTTGTTTTTTTTTATAGATATCTATTTGGATGGAGTAACTAATGTTGGTGATGTGTATCCGAATAGAAATCGTTCAGATGGTCTTAATTATGTTATTGATTTTGATCTTGATGAATTGCGTCGTTTAAATATTCATGAACGAGTTCGACCATTGAATGGTACACAAGTTTATCCATTACGTTTTCCTTCAAAATCGAAAGTACCTTTTCATCTTTCAACACTTAATGAAACAATTGAATTACTATATGGTCTTAATCGTGCAACAGGTCGACAACGTCAATTACTTATTGAAATAAAAAAACCTGAATATCATTCAAAATATAATAAATCAATATCATCTATTGTACTTGCTACATTAAATGCTTATAATTTAACACGATCAAGTGATCCAATTATTGTTCAAACATTTCATATTGAAGAATTGATGTATATTCGTAAAGATCTCGGTAGTCAATTGCGTTTATTTGCTTTAATGACATGGAATGACATTCAAGAATCATCAAGTGATTATGATTTTTATCGAAGTGAAGTAGGTATTAAAAATCTATCAGAAATTGTTCAAGGATTAGCACCTAATCATCAATTAGTTGTTGATTATGATGTAAATGGTGCAATCGTACGTACTACTAATCTAACAAAATGGGCTCATCAATATAATCTTAGTGTTTATCCATATACATTTCGACAAGATCTATTTTCTGGTAGTCGTTTTGAAGAACTTGTTAAATATTTTTGGAATACAGTACAAGTGGATGGCTTTATAACTGATCATCCAGATGTAGTTCTTGAACTATTGCAGAGAAATGAAACATCTGCTAATTCAGTTTCTTTCTTACATGTGTTTTTATCAATTATTATATTTCTTTTTAATATCATTAGAATATCACAACTGTATTTTTGATTTTTTTTCATAATAAAAAAATAAAATAAAATTTAATGTGAGCCATAATAAATCTTCGCTCGACAAATAAAAGAGATAAAACGAATGAAATTAATGTTACACGTGTACAATCATTTGGTTGTCATACTTCGTCAGAAAGTCACTTAATTTATTTTTTCTTAACTTATTCCTTTTGTGAAATACAATCTAAAAGAAGTTTTGAAGTATAGGGGTTAAACTTTTGGTCCATTCCCCCGTATTATATCCATCATAAAGATCAACGGGGTAACACCACTCTAAAGATCGAACTGATTCTCTCACAGTTTTTAAATCGTTCCTTCGAAAGAGGAAATCTGTATAAAATACTGCTCTTACCTCCTTCCCCAGACGTGACAGATACTTTAGTATGGTCGTTCTATTCTCATGAACTATAATCGACATGCTTATGAGATTAGTATGAAACAGAATTAAGCTTAAACTAGTTGTCTTTTGTCCTTGATTTAGAATGAGAATATATTCAAATAATCTAGTAGAACTCTGTTTGTCTGGTATATATTGATTGAATATCGGTATACCTTATAGACGACGCTAATTTATTAGTTTTTAATGGAAAATTTTCATTTGGATATTGTTTAAAAGGTTCCATGTTTATCAAATGATTTTGTTTTACTTGATGTTGTTTAATATTAATTTAACCTTGTTATTCAACTTCGAATTACTGTAATATAATGTCATCAACCATTTTTGAACTTGAATAAAAAAACAAATACGCTTTCTCACATTTTCTATTATGAATTGAGTATGAGATATTCGAGATATACATATATGCAATCACTCTAGTGATGTGATATACGTTAGTTGTATCTTACATTTCATCATATATTAAGAAGAAGAAGAATGAATGCGATCGATTTACAATAAAAAAAAAAAAGTAAAAAAAACCGAGTTAACAACTCCTTTTCTCTCTCAACCTTATATCGCCTAGCAGACGATTTTGAATATTTAATAAAACATGCCGATTTCAAGTGGTTTCTCACAAGATCTAAATCCAAATTATTATGTAAGAAACATTCATTACAATTTTAATTCGAAATTTATTCGAGTTTATATAGGTTCGTAAGCCTGGTAAAACAGATCTTTTAGATGAAGCAATTTATTACAAACGTGATGAAGCATTTGAACGACCTGTTGAGGTATTTTGTAGTTTTTTTGTTAAAATTCTTTTATCAGTTTTCATTTGAGATTATCAATCGGCCAATTATCAAAGACACAATTTTTATGCCCGATCGTAAAGTGCCTCCTTTAGCTACTGCACGAGAAATGTATACAGTAAGTAATTATACTAAGATGAGTTTATAAGCAAATAGAATTATAGGTCTCTCCTGAACCAAGGCCAACAGTATATACAACAACCTCAAATGCTCCACCTTCTGCTTCATTCAGTCTCATTCGAGCTTTAGGATTGAATGCTGATTGTCCATGTTGGGCATGGATATGTATCGTTTTTGGCTTTATTCTATTACTTGGTCTTATTGGCATGTGTTTATATTTCATTCTTGGTATGCTTCTTTTTTTTAGTTAAAAGTTACGAAAAAAGAAAAAAAACTATTTTCTATTTTTTCTTTGTAGAACGCGAAGGATATCTCTAATCGATCCTACTTCTCGTCATTCATATACTTTAATTTCTTTATACATATGACAGTTTATTCTAAAACATACACATCAAATCAAACACTGAACATTTTTATTTGAATCAAAACTAAAAGCTACCAACTGCAGTTAATTTTTCTCTAATGGAATTATATTTGATGCTGCAAGTTTACAATAAATAATTTACAAGATGTTCAATCTTATTAGCATCACCTTTATAAATTTATACTTGACAGAGTGTTTCATTAGATTTGAGACGCGACATAATTAGTTTATATGCAGCCAGAGATTTATGTCTAACCGAATGTGTTTTATATGAGCCTCAAGTACTCATGTGAGTCTTTCGAATGACATATTATTTCATAATATCTTCTCCTGTAATAATCAGAATATAAACAGGAGAATGTGACGAGAAATTGTTTTTGCAATCGATCCGCAAGATATGTTATTTAAAGAAACACTTTACTACATAAATATGTATTACTTTAACATTGATTTGCCAACTTTTTCAGAAATTTTATTAATCATGTTTTTTTTGTGCAATCATCACAAGTTTACTTTTTTTCCATTCTTTGTTTAATCTAGTTTTTATTTGTTTTAAACTTGAAAATTGTTTTTTCTTTTACTTTTCCTTCTTTAATATTTTCCATACTCTTTCAGTAGACCATACGTTTACAAATTTAGCGTTATTCTCTTTGGATAAAACTTGATTATTCAATAATTCATCAATAGTTCAAAAAACAATCTTTGTCCTTTGTATCTCTTTCTGTGCACAACATTTTCATATATTTTATCCATTTCGATTCGATTATTGAGCGCATAACTTCATTAAACATGTAACCCGTGGATCATGATGAGTGTCGAATAAGCATATAAGACTTTTAATTATTGATTTCTATTACGCTATGTTTTATGTGACATAATTCAAAAGTTTTTAGAAAAACTTTAAAAAAATTCACTTTGATCGATTGCAAGAAACTTATTCGTACATTCTCATGTTCATATTTTTATTATAACACGGCAAGGTATTATTCAATAATATATCATTTGAAAGATTGGCACAAGTACTTAAGGCTCATATGAAAACAGTCGATTAGGAGTTATTTTCTGTTTGCATATAAACTAATTTTACTGTGCCTCAAGATTTAGAAAACACCCTATAGATGGAGTACATAACAGAGCTCACTCGATATACAGAACTTCTTGTTTTGAAAAGAATTATTTGTTTCAAACTAAAGTTTTTAATTTACACAATTAACAACGAATGATTGTTGCTTAGTCGTTTTAGTAGACTCATATTTATTTCCAGACTTATATTGATTTATGTAGATTAGGACTTCTGTGATTTCATAGAAATAAATATGGCATTTGAACATCCGTGAATGTATTATGAAAGATTGTTCTTTCCAGTGAAATATTATGTCTCAAGGATTTATTGTCATAGTATCGAAAGTAGAAACTGCTTTTAAACGAATTAGTCTCTAGTGTTTATGCTTTAAAGTTATTTCAGGAGTGTTCATATAAGAAATTACATTCTTCTTTGCCATTTTTACTCGTCACAGTTAAGAAAATGTCAACTCTCTAAGTTTTATGCAAACGAAAAACTTTTGTTTAAGAAACGCCCTTAACTTTTTTGCAGAACGACATGTTTCATGTGAAATAAATACAAAGTCACGTCTGAAAACTATTGGTAGAGACATTTTAAATGAATACGTTATTATAATACTGTTAATCATTTTGGAATTTTTGAAATACGTTGAAGCATGAACTGAGACTCTATTTCAAAACTTTATATTAAAAAAAGACTCAACTACCAGAAGAAATGTGCATGAATGACATTATTGGCCTTACGTAGTAATTATTATATCTGTTTCATTTATAATACATTGATAATAGACATAGACGTGTCTCTCCTTTTTGTTCAAACTAAATCGAACTGATCTCACTTCTTATATAATATTTACTTGAAAACGAGATAATAGATTTCTTTTTCCATTCAATGCAACAACAGTGTCCACATTCAAGTCGTCCTTTCTTTTTGCGTACGTATACAACAAATCAAGACGAACTCAACCAGTTGAGATTCGATCAGTGTGGCAATTTCCGACTTCCCGGTTCGATCGGATTCCGTCGATGAGATTCAATAGTATTAAAGTGATGAGTTTTGATATATTTGTTTAATACTTTTCCTGTGGAAGTGAAGCTATTTTTACCTAAGATGAATAAAATCTATCTAATCTTATTCAAAGAAAAATTAAGTTTTGTTAAAGTAGATTAACAAATGGCTAGAATAATATGACAATATGAACATTTTTTTCGCACTAGTCAAGTTAAACAAACTAATAAATAATACAAGCACATGTATTGTTTTTGCTGATCTTTATTAATTTCTTTTTTTGTGTTATTTAGATTTATTAGTCGAATTTTAATTTAGTAAATTAGTAGGTTCTAAGAAAAATATTATCATTCATTTTATATTTTGTATCTATGCTTATAATACTTCAGATTGAATAGAGCGACTATTGCGCCCTGTTTTCAAGTCGTTTTCACATAGCATCAAAAAAAGTATCTTATAAACATCAACAGATACTTTCTGGTGGTATTTGGTAGGCTTCTTAAATTTTGATTTTTTTGTGAATACAAGACTCTAATTAACTTTTTTGAGCTAGTTTTAGCACTGATGCATAGATTTTGTGGAGATCAATTTGATAATATGACATGCACTTTTCAAAAATGTGTCTATCTCTTGTTACACGATGATGGACATGATATGTATATCAAGTTATCGGATACATGTACACATCTTCACATATTTTACCTTCATCATTTTTGTTTCAAAAGGTAAGTTCTATAGATGATAGGACTTGCTTTTTGGTCTTCTATATGCCTAGTAAGAAGTTTATTCAACTTCTAATGATGCTGCTCACCGCATACCGAAAAGCCAGCTAGTGAACGTTGAAAAACGGCGAAAAAAAAAACAAATTTTAGTGAGTTACTTGATAGAGATTACATCTTTGAAATTAGCAATTTTTTACCAGTGATCTAGTTTATTTAATAAGATACCGAATGGCACTTTTACTCACACTAGATATGATTATTGTGTCGATGTGTCACCCTTTTTCATTTATCTAATTTTAATATAGTTTATAATAATAAATCCGTATGCAGGAATCCCATTTATGTAATGCAATGCATCGTATAATAATAGAAAGTATAAGTAGGATGCCACCTAGGGTGACATAAGAATAATTAAATTGAGCCGCATACGACAAGAAAACGGTGTAAATATAATAGTATACGATCAAAATATGGTCTTAATATTTTAACAGTGGCTTTCAACTGAAACCAATCTAAACGATTCCGTTTTACATGCGAGAGAAAAATTGTGATTGTTTTTCATCGTTTATAAGAGTAACCTCGCAACTTCTCCACTGTTTTAGGCAATATAGGGTGCCGTTCCAAATACTCTGAATGATTGACACTTTTACAAACGTTAGTGTACTATCATAAATCTGTATGTTATCTGTTTTTTTAATTATTTTATTATTGAACACTTGACTATGTTGGTAAAATTAAATAAATATTACGAGTGTTTGAAGTAAATAACTAATATAAACAGAATAGTTGTTTTTTTTGTATATTTTTACTTTATATGTGTTATTCTACAACCAATATAGTGGAAACATTAATCATGAAATACATGAATACATAGTATATCGGATGGGAAATACAAGAGAGTGATAATTCTATCTCAAGATTGAATGAGTATAACTTGTTTTGCTTTCTCCATCTGCATTCGTTTTTTCTTAATCGACTGTTATCAGACTACCGGATTGTTTTACAGCTACGAGCAAATGTGAGTCAAAATTAGAGCGCATTATCCGTAAGTATTTCGTGATGTAGCCTTTTAAAACTGTTGTAGACAAGTGGCAAAAATAAACGTTAGTACTATCATTATGCGTGTTCGCTTCTTTTACCATGGGTGTGGATGTGAGTGTTATGTTTATCAGCTAAAGAAAATACAGAGAATCTAATAAAGGTTTGTCAAGAGTAATAGTATCATTTATAAACATGTAATAAAAGCATGCTTACCAAGAGTGATTTTATTTAGAAAAAATAGAAAGTACAGGTCCAAAAACATTGATACATTTGCACTATTTCTTGAGATTCATCACAATGTATTACTAGAAAATAACTTAGTAGTGAATTGAGTGGTAGAGCGTACTTCTGCTAGTCGATAGAAATTCGGACGTGATTAAAATTGTTTAGATACTTTTTTGATATCATACTTTGCTCCAAGAGTACAATTGATCTGTATATTTTCTCAATTGAGAGCACATACATGTCTCAACCAACTTTATAAAAGAAAAAGATATTAAAACTACAAATTTCTTCAATTGAATTTTCTTATTTTTCGGGTATAAAATCATATATTGCAGATGTGACAAAACCAGAACAAATTCATTATTACGATGCATAGGTTCAAAAAATCATGATTTAAGAACAAAGCTTAATTCTATTGTTGATGAGAAAAAGTCTAATTACCATCGTGATAAAGAAATTGAACGAATGAATTTTGTGTACTGTTCGATTGTTTACGTGAAATGAAATATGATGATGTTACCGATTTAAAAGTACATTTATCAATATAAAAGCAGACTGCTATTAAAGTGGTTTATATGAAATGATCCGATTTCAAACTAAATATCACTGATGAACATACAGACCAAGTATAAATCACATTAATCTTTTGAGTTCAAATCGGATAAGAAACAAGATGGTGTCACCTTGAGAAAAATTGACAAAACCTTTAGAAATTTTATCAATCAACATCGAACAAGAATGTCACGAGAAAAAATATTTAACATTTCGGGGTGTGGGGTGTGGGTGTGGGTATTGAAAGAATCTATCCACAACCACACCCAATACATCAACAATGGATGATCTTTCGAAATCAATAAATATGAATAATCTTAATAAAATAACAACAACAAAAAGTAAATTTTCATTTTAATTTGTAAAAATGTTTTATCATTATTCTATATATTTTAGTTACAACAAATAATGATCAATCATCTACAACATTTTCTAATAATAAAAAACTTCCTCAAATGGTAAAAAATAGAAAATTTTTAATTTAAATGATGATTATTGACATCTAATTTAACTTTATCCTTAATGAATAACTTTTACAAAAGAAAAATGAGTATTTATATTCGAAATCTAAAATCTTTGTGTTAGACATTTGAATAGATAATTAAAAAATAAAAATAGTTCGATTTCATGAAAAAAAAAACACACGAACCAATCGTATCTCATGTTGTACAACTCTGGTTTTATTAATTAATACTCGATAATAAATCTATATGATCAAATTATCGGACACTGTTTGACTTCGCATTATGGCTACGAGTAGATCTCGGTGAGAGTAAAGAAAAAAAAGCTTAAAAGGATTTGGCTCCATGGTCAACTATTGAAGAGTTATAACCGTTTTAATGAAATTTCCGAAATAAAGAGTTTCGAACTGAAATTATATCTCTAGGCACATTTGATAGTTCTGAAAATTTCAATGAAAACGAACATATCTTTCTCTAGATATTCACAATTTCCAAGTGGACTCGATTACTGCATCCTTCTATGGTTAATCGCTGTTGTTTTTAGATATTGAATATCTCAAGAAAGATAAATTTGCTTTCGTGAAAATTTTCAAATATGCCTATAGGTCAAGTTTTAGCTCGAAATTCTTTATTTCGAAAATGATTTGTTCTGAGTAAAAATTTCATTAAAACGGCCATAACTCTTCAACAGTGGATCATTGTTCCGAATCTTTTTAAGCTCTTCTTAATTTCACCGAGACTTACTCATAACCGTAATGTGACACCGAACGACATCCGTTGGATGATATGTATAATTTTACTATCACTATGGATTTATACGATAAATTTGTATATATTTGATAGAATTATTTCAATAAAACAATAGTGTTCTTTTAAGGATGCTTGATATTTAATAAACAAGAGGAATGATTTCTTAGTTTATGATAGAGAATTAACAATGAGATATGAGAGCCATAATAAAATCTATACGAGACAATGCTATCATGTTTTTAGCCTTCTGTAAATCGAGATTTTATAAAATTGATTTAAAAAAATTTTTTTTTTCTCTATTTGAGCAATTTTATTCTTTAACAATGTGATTTCGTAAAATAAAAATACAAATATGTTTTGACTCGAGAATTTCTTCTCGCTAATATTTTCATTGACAAATCCTGCAAGTTGAAATCGTATTTTTGATTATTAAATAATGCGACTTGTAGAGAACTCGTCCATCTACAAAATCTCATTGCAAAGTTTTTTTTTCCCTGAACACACTTCGTATTTTCAAAAAAATGAGTTTACTTGTTATTAATAACGTAAGTAAACTCGAATATAGAAACGAAAAATCTTCTTGTAATTAAATTCTCGATTGTATAGACGTTCTTATACGAAAAATATCCTTCATATTCGGATACTAGTACATTATAGAGATCTACTTATAACCAAATGTATGAAATCAAATGATGTTGTATCTCGGATGTAGTGATGAAGGAAACTAATCGTTTTTAGTCTTGATTTCTATCAGAAAAATTTTTGAGCCTAGTTTTGGTCTTTGTGAGAATATCATAATTTGATACATCATTCCTAATACAAAAAAGTGTTCATCCTGGTTCCGGTCTCGCTGGATCGAGATTATCTTGTTCATATGTTATTTGAATGCTTAAAATTTAATTATTTTTGTTATGCATTGATTTTCTAATTTCTTTTTAGGTTGATGAAATTCAATCGAAATTAAAAACTTTACAAATACCATTATCTAAAACATCTAAATCAACTATTAATCTTGACGAATCTTTAGAAACTTTAATAACAACACTTAATAATATGACAACATCACTTCAAGTAAATCTTCTTCCTTTTTTTTTTCCTTATATCAATCACATAAAACAAAATAAAAATTCTCTTTTAGACATCAATTCAATAAATAAAAACAATGACAAGTGAACATATAGAATCTATAACAAGAATTGAAAATGCTCGTCATCAAATAAAATTATGTCAAAAAGAAAATTTTTATCATTTATTAAAAGATCGTGAACTTGATCCATGGACACAAACACGTCTTGATTCAATTAAAAATAAATATGATCAAGTTAAACATAATTTAAATGTTTTATTACAATTAACACATAAAACAATACATAATAAATCATTATCTAGAAATGATAATGATATTGAAAATGAGTTCGTTTGAAAGAAAAGAACACAATTTATTTTGTATTTTGTTTTTTTTCTTTTGAAATTTTCTACCTGATTTAGAACTATTAAGTACATCTCAAACAATGAAACAAGAAATTCAAAAACGTCTACCTGAACTTAGTCATAAAGTATCTGAAATAGAAAAAGATTTACAAATTATTTATACAAAATTCAATAAATATTTATTGAGTAGCAAACAAAATGAGTATGATTATAAATTTTCTAATTGCATACTTTATTGTATTTTTTGTTTAGTTCAAATTTAACAAAGACGATAATGTCGTCTCAGAAATTATTTCATCCATTAGATTCAGAAATTTTATCACATTTACAAGTTACTCATCCAAATATTAATGAAATTAATGTTCCACAATCACCATTAATTCATTTATCATCAGTAAATGAACAAAAAAAAATCTTCAACTATTGAAATAACTAAACCACAAACACCTATACAAACAAATTCTTCACCAACAATTGAATCTGAAAGTTTTAAACAAATGTTACGTATTGTTCGAGCATCAATCGATCTATATTCTGGTGCAGCAAGTTCAGAACAATTACGTGAATTATAAATACAATTTCAACAAGTCCATTATCATCATCATCATCATTAATACAAAAATCTAATACAATATCAATTAATAAAACTCCAACTATACCTACAACAACAACAACTCATTCAAAATCACCAACTGTTACAAAAAATCCTTAAATACGACAATACCATCAACAAATATTGTACAAACACCAGCTAAAGCTGTTCCTTCACCTATACCAAATATTTCTGTTATACCAGTAACACCAGGAATATCATCAGATATATCATCAAAAATTCAATAAAATAAACCATTTATTCAAACACCTACTGATCTATCAAAAACATCAAGTGATAGTGTTATACGATCATTACTTAATAATAATAATAATAATAATAATACAGTATCAACTTCAACAACTTCAACATCAAATTTAAATCAACCACAAATTAATTCTACAACAAATCAAATTATTAAATGAAATATTCCTAATACATTAACTTCACATGTAACAAATCAAGCTCCAACAACAACAACATCTGTTCAATCAATATCTCCAACAACTAAACCAATTATATCGACTAGTCTAAGTTCATTCGGTTCAAAACCAATACTTGGTAGTAATGCACTTAATATAACACTTCCTACATCATCGACTACTCCATTTGGTATTACTACAGTAACAACAACAAATAACGGATTATTATTTGGTAATGTTTCTATTACAACTACATCTGCTCCTAGTTCATTGATTACAACAACAGCAACATCCGCAACTCCTACTCCATTTGGTATGGGATTTGGTGCTCCTACAACTACAACAACATCAGCTTCTACTCCATTTGGTACCGAATTCGGTACTCCTACTACAACAACAACTGCGGCAACATCAGTTTCTACTCCATTTGGTACTGAATTCGGCACACCTACGACTCCAGCTCCAGGAACATCAGCATTCAGTACTGGTCTATTTGCTACTGCAACAACTTCAGCTTCTACTCCACTTGGTATTAGCTTGGGCTTTCCTACTATTACAACTGCAACAACATCAGCATCGGGCACTGGTATATTTGGTGCTCCAGCAACATTAACATCAACTCCTAATCTATTTGGCAGCGGCTTCAATACTTCTACTGCAACAACATCAGCACCTAGTACTAGTCTATTTGGTAGTGCATCAACAACATCACCTTTTAGTCCATTTGGTAGTGGATTCAGTGCTGCTTTAACAAGTACGGCTCCTAGTACTAGTACATTTGGTAGTACAACAACAGCATCCCCATTCGGTGGTGGAATTGGTGCTAGCTCGACAGCATCTCCAGGTGCAACATTTGGTGGCTTTGGTTCTCCTTCAACAGCATCAGCATCGGATACGAGTGTATTTGGTAGTAGTGGTTTTTCATTTACTTCAACTGCTAAATCAACAGCTGGTACTTCATTATTTGGTAGTAGTAGTAGTAGTACACCTGCATTTGGTAGTAGTTTTTCTGGTTATGGCACGCAAGCAAATGTGTCTGGATCGTCGACTGGTTTTTCATTTGGTGGATTTGGTGGTGCTCAACCTGCAGAAACAACAACACCGACAACAACACAATCAGGTTTTGGTTCTTTTGAATCACCACCTCCTACATCATCACCATTTGGTGGCTCAATGTTTGGAGAAACACCTGGACAAACAACTGGTTTTGGTAGTAAGTTAATTCATCTTTTGAAAAATTTCTTTTTTTTATTTTAATTTTAATTTTATTATTTATATTTTAGCAGCAACATCATCATTTGGAGCTACGTCAACACAATCAGCAACCTCACCTTCATTTACAACTTATCGTAAATAAGATAATCTAGATACAAATATACATATATATTTTTTTTTTCTTTTTGTTTGTCATTTCTGTAACTGAAAAATTTGTCTGTCATATACACACTATATTAATTTGTCTTTTTCTTTTTTTTTTTGAAAACATATATGTGCATCTAATAAAGAAGAATAAATAAGTGATGTAAAAATAAAAATAGTATGTAGGTTGAGAGTAGTCTGAATTGAGTTCTGATCATAGGATAATGATCATCTTACTCATTGAACTTCATGTTGCTAACCACA